TTGAGTTAATGAACAGAGAATAGCCCAAGAAGAGAGCACATTGCTATTCAGTCGAAAGGGAGTTTGGTTCTGTGTTCTCGTATTTGCAGCTGTGATCCATCTTTGCTAAATAAGTAGTAAATGTGTGCCAGACCTGTGCATGTGAAACTGGTTTTACATGCACTGATATAAGACAGATCCCATGTAACTAGAATGAGGGAGATACCACCTTTTAAAGTGACTTGTTTAATCATGCAAGATAGTACTAGGGCAGATAATGCAGCTACACTAGTTTTTGCACAGTTGGAAGAGCCACAGAACTATGTGAGCAATACAGAGCAGTACAGTTTCCTGCTGTGTGTTCTCCCCTTTCTCCTCTCTCTTCCCCTGCTGTGATTGCTGTAAGAACCCCATTTGGGAGGGACTATTGCAGATAGAACTGGGCAGCCGTTCAAAGGCTGCTGACTACTGAGGGAGCTTCTTAGGGCACTCAGAAGCCTACAGTGATGCTTCTTCATCCTACTCTAAGGATAAGACCATTCATTTTGGAAAGTAGTTAGATGCTACAGTTATAGAAGATCCAAGTGAGGTGTCCAATGCCTTACCTAGTGATGTTTTGAGTGATAAATTTCAGTTAATGAAACCTGATGCCATGGAAAAAATGCTTACTATGAGTCTGACCACATGCCCTTGCAGGCAGTGTCCCATATGGCTAATACTAGCCAGAAGGGCATGGCCAGATAGTTCCAATAGATACTGTAGCACCTTTGTATGAAGACATGGAGTCTGCCATCGAAGAGAGGTGGGGCATGCTGAATCAGACCAAAGGTCCATCTAGTCCAGCATTCCGTACAGATGGTGGCAAACCAGCTGCCCCCAGGATTGCTCAAGCAGGATGGGTGCGAGACCTCCATCTGCCCAAGCTCCTCAGCAACTGGTGTATGCAGGCATGCTACCTCTTGTGAAGGAGGTGGCACAAAGCCAGTAAGACTACTAGCCACCAATAGCCTCTTCTTCCATGACTGTCTGACCCTTTTTAAAGCCATCCAGATTGGTGGCCCTCACTACTTCCTGAGGCAGCAAATTCCATGATTTAACTATATATTGTATGAAGTACTTTGTCTTGTCTGTCCTAAACCTTCCCACAACCAATCTCATGGGATGTCCCAGGTTTGAGTGTTATGGGAGAGAGAGAAAAATGTCTCCATTTTCTCCAGTTTGTGCTTAATGTTAAATACCTCTCATATGCTTCCCCCAACTTGGCTGTTTTCTAAGCTAAACAGTCCCAGTTGTTGCAGCCTCTCCTCAATAGGGAGTTGCTCCAGGGCCCTGATCATATTGTTGCCCTTTTCTGTACTTTTTCCAAATCAATAATGTCCCTATTCAAGTGAGGCAACCAGAAATGGGCACAATATTCTAAGTACAGTTGTAACCATGATTGGTGCAAGAGAAGTAAGATCTTGGCAGTTCTATTTTCTATTCCGTTCCTAATCATCCCTAGAATGGAGTTTGCCTTTTTCATAGTGGCCATGCAATGGGCTGACATTTCATCAAGCTGTCCACTATTGCCTCAAGATCCCTTTCTTGCTCAGTCACTGCTAGCCCCATCAGTTTATACTTATAGTTGTGATTTTTTCCCCAACATTCATTGCTTTACACTTATATTGAATTGTATTTGCCATTTTGATGCCCATTCTCCCAGCTTGGTGAGATCCTTTCCTTACAATCTCTTATAGTTTTGACTACCCTAAATAGTTTGGTGCCATCAGCAAATATGGCCACTTCACTACTTACTCCTAATGCCTGATCTTTTATCAATAGATTGAAAAGTGTTGGTCCTAATACAGGACCCTACAGGACTCCACTGATGACACTCTCTCTCCATGGGGAAAAATTACAATTAATTTGGACCCTCTGTTTTCTGTTCTTTAACCAGTTAGTGATCTGTAAGAGGACCTTCCCTTTTATTTCATAACTGCTCAGTTTGCTCAGGAGCCTTTGGTGAGGGACTTGGTCTAAAGCTTTCTGGAAGTCCAGGTAAATTATGCCTACTAGATGGTCCCTGTCTACATGCTCACTGACACTCTCAAAGAATTCTAACAGGTTAGCAAGACAAGACTTCCCTCTTGTGCAAAGCCATACTGACTTTTTCCATCAGAACTTATCCCTGTATATGCTTGTTGAGTCTATCTTTAATTATGTTTTCAAGTAGTTCACCTGGAACAGATGTTAAGCTAACTGGCCTGTAATTTTCTGGATCTCACCGGATCCCTTTTTAAAAATTGGTGCTACATGGACCATTCTCTAATCCTTTGGTACAAAAGCTGTTTTTAGGTACATATTAAATATTTTGGTAAGAAGGTGAGCAATTTCATGTTTTTGTTCTTTAAGTACTGTAGGATGGATACTGTCTGGACCAGGTGATTTGCTGACTTTCAGTTTGTCAATAAGATTGAGAACTTCTTTTGTCTGTATTATCTATCTTAATTCTTCAGACTCCAGAATACTAAACTCAGGGAAAAGTATATACTCTGCATCATCTGCTGTGAAGTGATGGAACTAATTCATTCAGCTTCTCTGCAGACTCCTTGTCCCCCTTAGTGCACCTTTAACTCCATTACTGTCCAATGGTTCAACTGCATATGTGGCTGCTTTCCTACTTTTGATAAAGTATTTTTGTTGGCCTCGCTGTTATTCTTGATATGCTTGTCAGTCTGCTTCCTTGCTTCTCTTTTCTACTTGCATCTCCTTGTGCAAACCTGTGGTCCCCTCTATTCTTTTCATTTGAGCAAGGTTTCCATTCCTTAAAGGAAGCTTTCTTCTTCCTAAGAGGTTCCTTGACTCTACTCGTTAACCACACTGGTAATTTCCTGGACTTTGTGCTGACTTTCCTCACTTGTGGTATACATATTATCTGAGCCTCTACAATAGTGTTCTTGGGTAATCTCCAAGCACTCTGAAGCAAATTTATCTTCTTGGTTCCCCTCTTTAGCTTCTTCTTTACAAGTTCCCTCATTTTGAGAAGTTTCCCCCTTTAAAGTCAAATGCAACTGTGTTCAATTTCTTTGGCAGTCTTCACCTAACTGTATATTAAATCTAATACCAACATGGTCACTGTTACCTGATAGCTCAACAACATTTACATCCTGTACTATGTCTTGGTCAGCTCCACCTAGAACTAAATTGAGGCTTGCTTCCCCCTTCTGGCTGGTTCCATGACTAACTGCTTCAGGGCACAGTTGCTTAGGTCATTGGGAAATGTAATCTATGTCAGAATGGGAATATACATTTAACCAGTATATTGCTAATATTATATAATATTACCAATATTTTGTATACAATATATTTTATAACTAATATAGAACCATTTTATTTTTTAACTGTTTTAATGTGTTATTTTATTATGTGTGCTGCCTAGGGAGGCCATTCTGGCAGTTATAGGCGGCATATAAATATGTGAATGAATAAATAAATGAATAAATAAATTAGTAAATGTGTGTAGTTGAAGTCCCTCATTATTACAGCACTACCTTTGTTGGAGGTCTCCAATTTCATTTCCCATCACAAAATCACCTTGCACATTCTGGTCTTGACGTTGATAGCATCCAGAGGTTTGCCCTTTAGGGAGATTACATCTCCAGCAAAGGGCATTTAATGGTTGTTTTAATGCTGGATGACAAATTTCATCTGTCCTGCTGTTGTTTTATTGCTGTTGTATGTTATTTCTCTGTTAATCTTGAAAATCCTTGATTGCAGAATGGGCTATAGATTCTTAAAATTCCAATGGAGCTAAGCACTGGAAGCAATGAAAAAGAGGGACATTAAGGCTCCTCCTTTCCTCAACTGTCACCTGGCAAGAACTATTCCATCTGATTGCAGCAGAGGGAGAGATAAGAAGTAAGACCATTCCATTAACTCTGCTGAAGACCAACTCTATTGTCTAAGGTCATTCTCGCTTAACTATGTATTTCCATCCATTGTAAAAAGTTTCTTACTCTTTAGACCAGATACTTGAATTTGCTTGTTTTCCACTCACTTCCCAATCTTCTTTTCCTTTTATGTTGTACCTTTTTATTGTAGACATGGGGGAAAAGGTCTTTTTATTGATCTACAAGCTCTTCTGGGGCATTTTCAGGTGGCAAGAGATCAACGTGCTTGAAAGAAAGTAAAGGAAGACTAGGATGCAATTATGTTTACTGACTTGGATGGGTGTAAACAAAAATTATGACACATTCACAATTCAGCCCTAATAGTTAAGCAGAAGCTTTAATCGAAGAGGCAGTTAATGTCCATGTCTTTATATTCTGGTTGTGGCTTCCTGAAAGTATTTGGCCAGACTAAATATGTCTGTCATTTGATCCAATGTGGCTCTTCTTATGCAGTAAGAGTCTTCTTCTCATCTATAAAAGCAAATAATTTTTTTTCCCTCAGACTGCCTTCTTACTAATATTCATGAAATCTTAGGAATAGTTCTGTGTATTCTGTGTAGGATCTGCACTTGAGCTTTCTTGTTCTTCTTGTTCTCGTGTGCCATCAAGTCATCTTCAACCTATAGCTAGGTCCCAGTACAAGTTGTGAGGCAAAACCAGTTTAGCATGGTTGTGAATACCTCATAAGTTTTCCTGTACTTTTGGAAAAAAATACATAATCCTATTTTTACAAAGTATTAGCACCCTTTTGGGTTAACTCAGGGGTCCTCAAACTTTTTGAACAGGGGTCCAGTTGAAAGGTGCCAGCGATGGGCGCAGGCCACCAAGGCAGTGCGGGCGCAGGCCAGGGCGGGGGGGCATGCATGTGCACGTGGTGAGGCAGGGGCATGTGTGCACAGAGATCATTTTCTCCGAGCGAGTCCAAAACAATCTCCTTGCGAGTAAGCCGGCATCTCAGTACACGTGCAGTTAGTTCAAAACCTCTATGGCGGGCTGGATAAATGGGCACAGCGGGCCGGATCCAGCCCATGGGCCGTAGTTTGCGGACCCATGGGTTAACTGAATCATGGAATGATACAATAAAGAACACTATAATAGTAAAACCCTTTATAATGTTATACTCCAGTTACATAGAAAGGAAAAGAAATAAACAAATCACAGACATTGTTAGCCAAAATGAAAGTTATAACTAGAGAGGTGACCAAGCAGAACTTAAGTCTTTATTTTAAAATTACACAAAAATATATTGTTATAAGTACAGAAGTATTGATTGTTTACCTGATTGAACGATACATCATAAAATCAATTGTTGTACATCTTGGAAATTTACCAATAGAGCTTTCTTCCACTGGGGTATATACCTTAATTTGTCGCATGTGAGTGTCTCTTCCATTTTGGTGATTGGCTAACACAGCAATCTGAATCATAAAAGTACGAATAAGTTTCTTGTGAGTATCAGTTAAAGGAACATGAATCCAACCACTTGGTTCCACTAATTCAAGTTGCTGGAGAAGAAAAGAGGAAGAAAGACCTGGAATCAGATTTAAAATTATCACTCAGCTTAAGTAATTGAGTTAACACTTCCAGTAAACAGGAAGATAGCAAAAGCAGAAAATAAGAATTCAGTGTAGCCTAAATTATTGAGTGTTTAATACACATGTAAACATTTTATATATCAACAAGAAGCTTGAGAAGAAAAGGGAAAGGGTTCTTTAGGACAGGGTGATGAAATTCTTGGTGATGGACAAATTACCTCCTATCTGACCCTCCATGGAGTTCCCAGAAGTGTTTTGGCTGAAGACTGGGTGACAGCAGCTCAAGCCTGGACTGCTTTGCCCATTTCCTATCTTCCCTAATGGGAGAGGGTACAATGTGCACCAAAGCCACCCCAACCAAGGACCAGGGTACAGAAGCCTCAGTCAAGATGGTTCTGTCTGCACTACAACCTCCCCCTTAGGGGAGGGCTCTGGGAAGGAAAGCACTTAGCATGTCACTTCCCCTAATAATTGGGAAGGGGAACCCCATGTATTCTTCAATATATTACTGGAGATAACTAAAAGAATTCTCCCCTGTACCCTCCCCAAGCTCTCAGTAGTCTTTAGTAGGTAGGGCCTGCAGGAGGATCCAAAACTTCTGTATATAAAATTAGTTCTTACCAAATGTTAACAGAACTTTTTTCTAAATGCACTGTGTGTAGCTTCTGCATTTTAATGAAAGAAGATAGACATGGCATATATTAATGGGCACAAGAGATACTGCTGCTGCAAAATTACTGTGTAGGAAATATGTACATTAAGGTTTTGTGAAATACTCCTGTACCTCTGTACCAATGGGAGGAGTATTTAACATGTTTAATGTGCATGTCACAAAGCTGTACTCCTGCATGCTGTGTATCTGTTTTTAAATTTTGCATTACAAGTGCAATTTTGTTGTAGTGTCAAGATGCAGGAAAACAATTACATTATGACAGTTGTCTCACAACCACTTTAATTACACAAGCTTGAATATTTAGATGTTTACAATCCTATATTCATAAAATTCATTCCTTGCGTGTACATGGATATAACAGTTAGCACAACTTAAAGCATGCCAGAAGATAACTGGAAGATTGTTTGCAACAGGGAGTGAAATCCAGAATTACTATTTAAATATATAGTCTCAGATACAGGAAGCTATATATTTTTTACTTATAAATTCACAAATAAGATATTTAATGAAGGTAGATAAAATCAATCATGAAGAAAATAAAAATTTAGATTTAACATTTACACTGGATTTTTAGAGAGGAGTAATAAATGTGTCCCTTTAGAGGCAGCTTAGTTTAAAATCTGTAAGTCACAGGATTGTAATACTTTTATTAGGTCCAGACAATGTAGTGAGCGACATGACTTACAATGTGTGTGCACATGGTCTAATATTATTTCTGAATATGATATATAGCAAATCTATTAATTTCTATGTCCATTGGGTTAAATCGAAAGACAAATTAAGGCAAGTTGTAGAAATAAAGTTTCTCATTGTCCTCCTGCACCCACCTGCATTCCTTAAAAATATTTCTGGGGAGTCAGGGACCCTCCTGAACTAAGTGGGAGTAGGACACAAGGGGGCCACCTTTTCATCTACACCTTTTGAGTCTTCGCTCTTTCTTGTGACAATTTAACAAGATGCTCGCCAAACATCCAGTGGTGTTAGTCCACTGACGGAAGCACTTCCATCAGCAGAAGAGGAAAGGGACAAATCTCCCTTCCCTCTGTCGTCTCCTGCATGTGTTCAAAATCTGCTTAGAAGGGCTAGGAAACCCTCTGAAAGAGCATTTTGGGTGGCTCAAGGTTTGTAGGGGAGAGGAGAGAGGAAGAAAGCCTTCCTGTATTAGTAACCATTAGAGTAACATTGGGGTTAGCCCAAAACAGCTGAAATATGGGGAGAAAAGAGATGGCTTCTGTAGGTAGGAAGTCCAACTAACCTTTTCAGGTAGCTTTGTCCTACCTTCCTTTCTCTTGGCCATTGTTTTTTCTGCATTTGTCACCGTTCTTTGGCTACTGTCCTATGTTTAATTTGTCTGACAGCCTGAAACATGACTACAGTTGTGAAGAGGGCATCCATTTGCTCATTCCAGAGCTCTGTGGCACTTTTCTTAATAGGAAATAGAGGAATGGGCTACTGGATACTGATGTCCCAAAATGTTCTTGGCTCCTATTAATGTTTTTAAGAACCTATGGCAAAAGCTCCCAACACTGACTTGTCAAGCACAGTACTGCTTCTCCTCTCTCTCCGATTGATGGTGGTAGTTCTCTGGTAATGTTTTAGGAGACAATTTCTAGTCTGGCAATGTTTTAGGAACAATGAGATCAACAGACAGATTATGAAGACATCTTAAAGAAAATTGTACCTCTGTCTTTCTATATAAAAGGATAAACTAGGGGCAAAAGTGTGTGGTGTTCGAAGATCAAGCAGTACAAAACACCAATTTGGACATAGCCCTAAATCACAGTTTAGCACTGGACACACAAACTGGAGCAAGCTTCAGGCTCCTGTACCCTTGTCACCCACATGCTAGGAGAGGGGATCTAAAACATCTGCTTCTGAAGTACCATAGTTCCCCAATACTTCCAAGCTTGGGGATTTTCTGATGCATTGTATAAACTGGGTCAGTCTGGTCTGGATTGTGTTTTGCTTGAGTAAACTTCATTGAGTGATTGACTTTTTCCTCTTCAGTCCTTGTTTACATTTTAACAGGAAGACTAAGGAAGGTGTGGTGGGGAAGGAAGCAGCTGAGAATCTCTGCTTTTTCTGATCTCATCAGTTTTATATATGTCTTGCTTTGGGCTTTTTTTCTTACTAGCCTGAAATCTGACTTGTATTTACAGCTCTTTATTCATGGGTGTTCCCAACCCAGTTCTCACTCTAGCTCCTTGTACCCCTTAAACCCTCTATGCCATGCACTGGGGCTTAGGAGCTCTGGCTGCAGTGATGATGCAGAAAAGCCAAAAGCCAGTATGAAGACACTCCCATCATTTGTGGTGGTACCCAGGACACTACTTCAGAATTTCAAATAAGCCCATAGGTTGTGAAGGTTACCTCTCCCAGTTTAAACTAGAATTCCAAATCTGGATATAATGAGGAACTCTGATTCGTTTAAAATGAGAACTGGATGTTTCCAATCTCTTCTGGCATACGCCTGAGGTTTGTCACAGCCCATGCATGTCATGCTAGGACATGCTTTATTTAGCATTATGTCTAAACCAATCTAATATGTCATGTGATGCACTTTTAACTGTGCAAATCATGAATTTTAGCCCCTTGAATAGATCCACTTAAAAATATGAGTCTAACTCAAAAAGTTGTGTGGACTGTATAACAAACAGTCTGCATTCTCTTTCAGATTAATAAAACAGCTTTTCTTTACTAGAAGACAGATATGCTTTAATTCATATAACTAGTATGTGTTCATTCAATAAATATATGTACCTGAAAGATGGTAACTTTATTAAAATTAATGGTTTTAATTTCTCTTTTTCCTATATTTAGCTGCATAAGCCTGCACATGCATATTTAAACCCCCTAAGTTCAACAGAATCTATTTTTTTGTAAGTATATTTAGGTTGCAGTCAAAGGTCAAAATTCTATAGACAGACAGAAAAAAGTCCACTAACTGCAACATCCTAGAAGTTGTAGGACATTTTTGTCTAAACTGGCAAAAGATTGCACCCTAAATATCAATTATTTCTTTTGAATGAATGAATGAGTTGCCTTGATATTTCCCCTGTACGTTAGTGGTGTCACAATATTTAAAATACAGTAATGAGATACTCCCCTCTATTATTGCATAATACATACAATCTAAGATACAGCACAAGCACCACAATCCTATAGATACTAGACAGCATCTCGATGGCTATGGGCTTTTTCAGAGAACCAGCTGGAAAATGACTCCAACAGCAAACTGGGTCTCCATGCTCAAAGTGCCTCCCTGCTTTGCATTTGCAGCCATCACTGAAGGAATGGTGGTTCCGACGTTGCACCAAGATAGTGGGTAGGAGGTAAAAGATGGGCATCACCAAAATATGAGGTATCTTGATGGTGCCTCAGCCTCCTTCCCTCCTGTTCCAGGGAAGTTCACTCAGCCAAAATCAGCTATCATTTTTGCAGGGTGCAAGTGTGAAAACAACCTTCACACACACAATTTCTACCCTACATATGATGCCCATCATCCTCCAGGTTCAGAGGTTTGTGCTTTAAATTATTCTAACAACTATTACTGTTAATTGCAGAATATCTGAGCATAAACTTCTCATAATACTTAAGTTCACAGAAAAAAACAAAGATTTCTGCCAGATTTGCTTTGAAATAATTGTCCAGAACAGAAGAAAAGATAAACATGTTAAAAATTTATTTGCTGTAGTACACCTTATAGCCTCATCTTTCTAGAACAGTCCTTCACAGCCTGGCCATGCTGGTTCAAAATTACAGAAGTTGCAGTCAACCACATCTGGAGAATGCTGGGTAGGGAGAAGGCTGTCCTTTACAAAACGCTCAGTTCTACTAGCATATAGTTTCCAGCTGGTCTCTCAACCAGGCAAATTTATTATAATAATTATTATTACACATGACATTTATACCTTGCCTTTCTTACTCTTTCAAGTAACTCATTGTGGTTTACAAGGTTCTCCTCTTCTCCATTTTATCCTTACAACAGCTACCCTATGAGGGAAATTAGACTGGGAGTACATGACTGGCCCAAAGTCACTCAGTGAGCTCCATGGCTAAGTGGGGAGTAGAATCCAGAACTCCTTATTCCTAGTCCAACAGTTTCAGTATAACACCACACTGGCTCTCAATCCAAGCATGGAAAGCAATTACATATATACATGTTCAGTGGGACTTGTTATGAAAGCTGTTGATAATTTTTACAATTTATCTGATTCTAAAGATACATTCCATCCAGAACATTTTCTGCCTTTTCAGACAAATCAGTATTCAATTACTGAGTATTTTATTCTTCTCT